GCTTGATTGACAAGAAGAGACAGAAACTACTGCATCTGTCCTGCTCACTTTCAGCATGAATCCACTGTACGCTCTGACACCATTCATTCACAAGCCGCTTGTTTTGCAGCTGATAAGACAGCAGGCGGTTTGAAAAGCCTCTGAAAGACGCCTCCACCGTCTCCTCAGCCTCACAGACCCGAGGGACAAGCTAGAACCGCCTACCCTTTCCTTTCCTTCGGCCGTGTCAGTGTAGACCCCCACAAACACACACACACTAACACACACTGCCACAGAGCCAGAAAGACAAAGATAGACAGCCAGAGAGAGTGTTTCATCCCTTTCCCCTTATCTCTCTGGCCAAAATCCCCTGCCTCCAGAAAGCAATTTAAAGGCCAGAGAGAAGCAGACAGAAGTGAGACAGCAAACCAGAGAAATGCAGGAAGGAAGGCTCCCGATAACTTTATGTTAAACTGCATTAGGCATGCAGTATAACATACGTGTTAAACTGCACTTAACACTGCATTCCTAATGTTAAACTGCATTAGGAATGCAGTTTAACATAAAGAAATCTCCTTAAATAAGATTATAGACATTATGTGAATGGTGATACTAGATAGTGATATTTAAGTCAAAACAGTAGCATCTTGCAAAAGTATTTAGACCCATTAAACTTTTTAGTTTTTTTTACATCACATGATTTTTGATGATAGTAATGCACAAAGTTGTGAAGTCGAAGGGAAAGACAAATATCAATTTCACATTTTCTTATGAATAAAAATGTGAAAACTGTGGCAGGCGTTTGTATTGGGCCAAGTTCATGAGTTCATCGTCTTCATGAATATTTGCAGATCAGGAGAAAGTCCTCATGAAGGCAGAGTGTCTTCAGTCAGAGGTTCTTCAGATTTACTGTAATACACAAGAGATCTTTCATGCCAACAGCAACAATCTACAATAACTCTTTGAAAAATGAGTGAGTTACAACAATGTTTAATTTCCCTTTGGGTCCCTGAATTTGAATTTGAAAGTTGTGGAAATTTTTAATGGAGAAATTTTTATGCAAAATTCACATTTTACATTTATGCTTCATTTGGGTCTCAGCTGCTTCTAAAAAACAGCTCAAGTGTTAAAAACTAAAACCCCGATTTTAATTCATTTTATGTTTTTTGGTGTCTGGAAAATGAGCCGTTTCAATTGTTAAGTCACATTTCCATGCACTGCGACCTTACCCAACAACCCCTGCCAAGCCCAGCCCCCGTTACCTAGCAACCCCTGCCACGCCCAGCCCTCGTTACCTAGCAACCCAAGCGAAACTCCCAGATATTTAAGTGTTTAAATCTGCAAACCTGGTGGGACAGTTTTTCAAAAGACTTGTGAAAGGATGTTCTATCAAGAATATATAAATATTTATAATTTTCTCAAAATTTCTGTTTATTGATCATCTCAAATAATAAAATAAGGTTGTGTTTGGAATGCTACAAATTCTTAAAAAGGATTCAAGATTCTCAAAAAGTACTTCTGATTTCCAACAGGGAAAACCTTCAGCTGAATCAAAGATAAACTGTCTGAGTGACCTAATTTTGTCGAAACTTCCTTAAATCATTACGTCCGACACCAGAATTGCTGCTCTGACGATAAGGTCAATATATCTGAGTCTGAATAGTAGCCAATTAAAAAGTGGAAACCCCCCATCCCGAACTCTCCTCTTCCCATCCCAGGGCGTAATTAATCTTAAATTGAATGCCTGTGTTTAATTAAATAGTGAGGCATTTTAAATGGCTGAGCTGTGACTTTGCTTTATCGGTCACTCTGTTAGATGACAGACCCATCTCATTACCCGGCTCTCTGTTGGGAGACTGTCTGCTTCCCTTATCTGAAAAACAGTAGCTCCATCAGGTTAACTAATGCACGGTTAAAGCACTTATGGTGCTCTTTAGGAAATAATTTATGCGACCAGCTTCCATGTCTCAGGAGCATTTTACTACTAAGGAAAACATCTGGAGTGGAATGACAGAAACGCAGCTTTATCAGAAAAATGGGTATTAATATATGTATAAAACTAAAATCCTCTTTTGCTGCTGCTTGGTGTCGGCTGGGGCTTTTCAGCAGAAACATTTTGATGTTTTAGGAAAGTCTGGGATTACATTGACATGCAATCTGCTGGGATGCTGTAATGTGCTCTGTCTATGTTTTCTTAATCCAAACATCACAGGTGCGTGTAGAGCAATGTTTTACAGCCAACATTTTAAAATCCTTCTAAAAGATGAATAAAACAAAATACAAACGAAAACGTTAAAGGGATTTCTGCAGTCAGCAACATAAATCCCTAGTTTAGCTAAGCCTAGCCTAGCATAGGCAGTAGACAGGGCCAAGTACTCTCCAGAGATGAAGAAAAATCCCTTGAGCAGCACCTTTAGAGCTCACTAATTAACATTTGACATTTTTTAATTGTTGCAGACACTGAGGCATAAAATGAAACAATCCACTAGTGACCAGAAGTTTCCTCTGGGTTTGTTGCTAAGAAACTGCTAAGTGGGAAACACATAGCGCTCATAAAGCATTGAAGTGTCATTTTTAAACTTAGAATAAATGCAGTTCTTTTCTGCAAATTAAAGCAAGACAATATTCGTAAATTTATAGACGCTCGTTAATTATTTTTGTCTCTTTGAATTGAGCTGGTTGTCAAGTTAACACGGTTTCCACTCTGTATGCACGCTAGCTAAGCTAACTAGTTAAATTGAATTTATGGCAGAATTATTTTTTCTTCTCTTTTCTTTTTATATATTTTTTACTACTTTTCTTATTAATTATTTTTACAGTGAGTAGGCTTTACATTATGATACCTGAAACAACCAGATGGATGAAGGATGGACGTAAGTAAGTAAGTGATTAAGTAAGAAAAGAAGGAAGTGTACAAGGAAGGGCACAAGGGAGGAAAGCAAGAAGGAAGGAAGGAAATCAGGGAAGGACACAAGAAAGGACACATGTAAGAGATGGAGAAAGGTCAGACAGTGGTTTCTTCAGAGCCTCTGTAATACTGGCAGCTACAGGAGATCATCACCACAGTCATCATCATCTACAACAATTTGGGATTAAATTAAAATAAAATTGGATTTAACTGAATTGAAAGACAGAGAAGTGAAGGCACAAGGAGAAAATAGAAAGAAAGAGAGATATAAAGAGATAAAGGAAGGAAGAAGAAAAGACTGGTTAATTTGTCAAATACAATAAAATGCTTTGGAATAGAAAAACCATTCCACCCGCTATAATTATTGTAATTTCATATATATATATATATAAATTTCCTTATTAATGATATTAATGAATTCCACATATATATAAATAAATAAAACCATCTTTGTAACCATCCGACCACACTTCTCTAGTCCGAATGACATCCCAATGTCAGTGCTGTAGATCCTGGTGGTGTGGATCAGTGAGTCGATGTCTCTCTCGCTCAAGCTCCCAGGCCTCTGGTAGAGGACCCAAGCTCAGAGGACGTGAGAAGGGAATTTTTTTTTTAATATATATATATTAGATATAAATAAATACATAAATAAAAGACAATAATTATATTTAAATCATTGAAATGTGACTAATATGTCAAATTCCATGTTTTGGTCTGACTTGTGAAGACCTGTAAAACATTATTTCCTTTGTTAGCTAACAAAGAAAACCACAACAGAGTTCAGGAGATTAAACAGTTCAGGAACTTAAACAGTTCAGGAACTGAAATATTTCGGGAGCTGTGTGTCCCTAACTTCAGATAAAGGTGATGGACACACGGCAGCGGAACATCCCAGTGAAACAAACCTCAGAAATCTGTCTGCTGAAAGCAGCCAGTTGCTCGTTACGTCATGCGCCTCAGACTGATCTACGATAAGTGGTGACTCAGTCTTGGGCCAGATGTGTCTGTCCAAAGGATTAAAGGTTTATGAGGATTAAAACTGTCCATCCAAAGCCATCCAACCTCCTGCCCTCCAGCACAATGAAGACCAACCATTTAAGACAAGTCAAACGTCCCCTCCTGACCTGAGGAGAGGTGAACCCCACGTAAGGGTGGCGTTTGTTTTGGCCCGGGGCATTTAAGGAGACGGAGTTTAATAACCAGATTTGTGATTTTATTTCTCAGAAACCAAGCTCGATGTTGAAATCCAGATTATCTGATTGAATAACTGTGATACAGCCGGTGAAATCAAAGCAAAACAAATTTAATCTCATTATACTTCTGTTGATGTAATATCCCCGGTGCAGTTTAACCATGACTTGAGATTTTTATTTAAAGGGTATGTTGTCTAACCTGGGAAAGTTATATAGTTTCACTTAATGGCTTTACCTCATTTGAGTGGTAGTAAACTGGATCTGGAATTACAAAATAAAAAGTTGGCTTATAATTTCCATTTAAAGATAAAAAGAAATCTCCAAGGTCAGAGGTAAATGTAGTTTCCAATGCACATAAAAGTGGTAAAACAGTGACATCTAGTGGCTGCTTTAGAGAAATGCAGCTTATTTTCAGTCAGCTGGAAATAATGAGGTGGCGCATGTATAAAAAATAAAACTTGCTGTTTTGGAGAGCTTTTATATTTGCTGAAGCTCTGATATAAACCCTCAAATTGGATTTATTAGTAACCAACAAATAAATCTAAGTTTAGTTGTCGAGAAGGACGAACAAGTTGAAAACAATAAATAAATCCAAACATTTTAGATAAGCATTTCTAACTGTGGTATAAATATTTACTTTTGATTTAAAGATAATTATCTAAAAATGTATTTCACTAGTTTGTTAGTCAAATTTAATCGACTAAAATGTTTAAAAACTAAATTGTATTTAGTCAAATGAAGCTGAAACTTACAACTTGTATATAATTTAACTTGTATATAATAAACTAATCAGACTGATGGGGAAAAAAAACAAACAATTATATAAATTAAAGATTCAAATGGAAATAATTTATGACAGAGTAGAAATGTTGACATATTTGAAACTTCAGGGTTTAAAATCAAATCTTTTGAACAAGGCATCAGTTTTCGGACTGATTTTATTCATACAAAAACATCTGGAGGTGACCGACAGTGCGAAAACCACAGGACTTATTTACAAGTGTGTTATCTACAAAAAAGAACTTGAAATTTGGTTTTCCGTCCAAGACAGAAGAGAAAATTTAAGAACAGGCCAGAAGTGCTGGAATTTAAACCGGGTGACATCAGGACTTGGACCAGCTGCTGAATTTTTCCTCACAGAGAGAAAAACAGCCGACGGCTCTTCTTTCAAAGCCGACAAACCAGAAGAGTCCTTCAGTCACATGGGATGCATCCAGTCTTCAGTTCCTCTCTTTTTACTGTGATGAAGACGACTTAGGAAGCCTCTTCGTCGATCTTCGGGGCCAGGTAGTACTTGATGTGTCCCATATCAGCAATCTTGTACTCGACCACTGAGGAGAGAGGAAGAAAGTCACATTTGAACCAAGGAAGAAACGCTTACTGATGCGATTAATCACAGTAAAGGTGATTAACTGCCAAGTTGGGTACATTTACTCAATTACATTTGAGAAACTTTAAAAAAATATATATATATATATAAAAAAATATATATTTTTATATATTTTATATATATATATATAAAAATACATGTTAGAAGCAAGTTTCTATTTGCTGACAAATGTTTCGCTACAAATGATTAAATGTAAACTAAAGGAATGCTGTGTTACTGCGTAAAAAATCAAATATTCATTTTCTTATTAAAAAAAAGGAATTTATTTATTTGTATGTTTTATGCATTTATAATGTTTTATAAAATCAGATCATGTAGTTAAAAAAAATCTGCAAAATGTGCCTTTTTTTAAATTAAAATATTTATGAGTTCAAGACTATTCAATAATAAAAAAAACCTTTTTTATTTTTATGGTTTTAATATTTTAAGTATTAAGTATTTAGCATCAGGCCATTTTGAATCATGTTACATTTATTGTGCCTCAATGTAAAGTTTGTCTGGAAAGAAAGCCGACTCATCACTGTAACCAATCTATATAAAATTATAGATAAAGCTGATTGATTGATTGACTTACCGAGGGGAATGTCAGCAGACATACTGAGGGTGACAGTTTTTGACAGCGGCGTGGCCTTTGTGAAGAAGTTCAGGTAATTCAGGGCAAAGATCAGCTGGACCGGCTCATTCATCTCAATTGTGACCTTGATAATAATAATAAAAGAAAGAGAATAAATTAGATTGAATACACTCCACCAAACTAAACCAAACTGATCTGAATAAGCCATGTATTCGTCGACACTCACAGCCTCGTCCTCCTTGTCCACATTGCTGGTCTGGGACAGCTTGACGTTTCCGGTACCCAGCTCTCCGGAGGCAGAGAACTTCACGCCGTCCTTCGCGCAGGAAATCATGACGGCGTCGCCGATCTGGGAAAGGTCGCGGCAGATACGGGCAAACTCTCCAGAGGGCATCTTCACCACACAGCTGTACTCCTGCTCCTGTGGGGGGAACGTCAGGAAATTAAAATTATTTTTATTGAGAATAAACCCTTTAAACAAATGTTGACGCATTTAAATATGCAATAAAGTGTGCAAAAAATTCCAATTAGGTCTGCAACTAATTATTTTAGCAATCGATTAGTCTAAAAAAAATAAATAAAAATAAAATAAAGATTTTTTTATCCAACCACTTTTTTAAATACAATATTAAAAATGCATTAAAAGATGCACATAAATAATTTAATAAATATTTTATTGCCTAAACTACAACAGTTTAGGCAATAAGATTTACTAAAGCATTCTTTTAATAAATTTGAACTGGGTAAAGCAATGCCACTTAAGGAGTTCTGGCTAAACTATATTTATAGACAAATGTGGTTTCTTTTTCATATTGAATGGAAAATATAAATATTTTTTGCACATGTTTCACTTAATGCTCTGAATACGTTTCTTTTTCCAGTTAATGGCCATGTTTTAGTCAAAATATTCAAGTTAATGCAGTCAATCAGTTGATTATTTAAATCGTTTGAGTCCTAATTCCAGTATTAATCAGTATATTAGTTACTTACTGGAATACCGAGCTGCTCAACATCCAAGTCCATCAGTTTCATTTCATAATCTGAGACTTTCTCCTGATCTGCAAAGATTAAAAGAGGCAACAACATCCTAATTAACTTTGACATGGTCTTTATTTTCTTTTTTGATGACTAAGAGGACAAAAAAGCAAGGTAATTACTACAATTGCCCAACTTTATATACCATTAAACACTTACTGAGGGTTTCGAACACGAGAGCGAGTGTGTCTGCGTTATCTTCTGCTCTGAGGGTGATGATGTCCTCGTTTCCTGCACACTTCAGGATCTTTGACATACTAAAAGAAAGATGAGACAGTATAGTTTAGGATGGTACAAACCAAAACGGGTTAAAACTACAAGATCAGAACAAAGTTAAAATCCGTTGACAAGAGCAACAATTAAAGTTGGAAGTAATAACATTCCTGTAAATCAATTTTCACATACAAGAAACAAACTGCTATATATTTTATTTATTTATTAAGCTGCATTATTTCGTAAAATGTGTCTTGTTATGATTCAGCCATTACTATAAATGGTTATATGTGAATAAAAATATTTAGAATAACTTGTTTATCGCTGTATTTTTAACTCCAAAAGACCAGAAGAAAGTGACGGAATTGAGTTATACGCGATAGTGACGTAAGCGGAAGTACAAATTCCCGGGTTTAACAATTCCCGCCAACCCACTCGGCAAACAATTTCGCGCTCAACAGAGAGTGCTTTGCATGATCAATAACTGCATCTAAAACGTGTTTTTGACGCAAAATTCAAGATTTGTCTTGAATAAATAACCAACACAAAATGCTTGAAAATGTGATTTTTATGAGTGCAGCAGGGAAACATGCCCGGGCAAATCCACCAAGATGGCTTCCGTCTTTGTGAAATTAACACTGCGCAATTAAATATATTCCAAAAGAAAGAAAAAGAAACGGTTATTGCCAAGATGTAGCGATGTTTCAGAGTTATTGGTAGAAACAAAGTCTCACTTATTTGTCACTTCGTTGTGCAACTTTATATACAAAAGTACCTAATTATATCAACACAAATGGTAAGTTATCAAGACAACAAAGTAATATCAATGTTTAATATTAAAACGTGTTAATAAAGTTGGCCTCACCTGCTGAGGTTGACCCCCATCGCCAAGTTTCTGTCGCAGCGGTAAGAGTCGAAGCCATCATGCCGCAGGGTGAGCTGCACCAGGGAGACGTGAGACGAGTCCATGCTCTGGAGGGAGATGCCGGACGAGCTGACATCCCAGCAGGCCTCTGTGATCAGATCTTTCAGCGCCTCCAGAACCTTCTTCAGGATGGAGCCCTGGACCAAGCGAGCCTCGAACATGTTTGCTGTGGAGTATTTACGTCTGCGTAGACCGAAGAGAAAAACGTAATTTTCCGCCTGAAAGCGTCACTCCGTGGAGACAGAAGCAGCAGCGTAGAGCTATAACTAAGCGGGAGGGAAAGAAAACTCCTCTGGCTGTAAAGTCTTTGTGTTGCTCGCTGACTCTGACTCAGCACAGGTAACTCCGACAGCAGGTTGAGAAGTTTGAGCTGTAAGCGCGCGCTAACAGGAGTTTTATAATTCTCATACTACGTCATTTCCGTGCGTCGTACGTACCGCCCAACCGCTAAAGAATGCAAACAGATTTCAGCCATATTGGAGAGGGCACCTAATACATTTAACTGGAAGCAAGAAGTCAGTAATAACTTCTTGCGTTTGCTCAATTTCATTTATACGAGTAAAATTTTTGTAATAAATAACATTTAGGAATAGCTTTGCCACACCATACCTTTTCACTTTTATTTCAATAATATTAATTATGAAATAATGCTAATCTTGAGTAACATTTCTGCATACTCTACAACTGCGAGTGTTAGGAACACTAAACTCATGAATTGATTTAAATATATTTAAATTAATACTTAAAACATTTTAATAAAACATTTTTATGAGAAGATGTTAAGAAAATTAATTTAATTTGGATTTTATTACACCGGAACTGACGTTATTGTCTATGCTCACTCTCATTGGGTTAGGAAAGAATTCGCCCGTTTCCTGGACAACAAAACGCTAAACAGCCAAAAGAAGGAATGCAACTAGCTTAACTTCGGAAAGTTCACAGCAAGTTCACAGATAAAACTCGTTTTAATTACGGGTTTTGTGTAGTCAAGTGGAAAAGAAGTTAGGAGACCTGGGACATAGAAAAAACTGCAAACATGGTAACTTTTTGTAGTCAGATCATTTAACCTGAGCGCGGGCTTTGTTGATTATTTTAATGTTTGTTGTAAATGCTTTGGCGTCTGTCTTTTCGTTTTTCGTTTTATTAAAACAGAGTCGTAACTGGATGACGAGGCACCACCATATCCTGCATCTGGAAAATATCAGGAGAGAAGAGATCAAGCGACTATACCGGGAAAAGGGGCTGAAGGCCGGTATGGCTGTGGAGGAGACCGTCGACAGGAGGAGACACATGCGGCAAATGCGACAGGAGCTCAAGGAGCGGCAGATAGAGGACGGTCTAATCAAGGTTGGAGTCATCTGGTCTTCCTAAAGTTCAGCCATGTTTCGATGATCTAACTTGAATATAGTCGCCAAAAATAAAAATAAAAATATAAAAGTTTTTATAAAGTATTTTATAAACGATGAAACAGTTTTTAAATTGATTGAGTCACATGTAACGAATGCGCAGCGTGACAACACATTTTGCTAAGCAACTGACAGAAGTGTACATTAAAATTGTAATTTGCTTCCAGATTTATTTTTGAATCAGAATTAATTGTATTGCCATTGCGCACAAAGAAACCACAACTACATTTAAAAAACAACAACTCTCAAAGGCAAGTCAAATAATTGAATAAAATAAATACATTTTGTCTACTTGCATGAGTTTTTTTAAAGTCAGCTTTTGATTACTTTAAGGATAAGCTAAAATGATCTGTGCAAGATAATAAAAAGCTTGTTATGAAATAAAACTGTATGACCAGCTGTTAAGCAGACAGGAAGCTGACAGATTGATGGATGGAGGATGCATAGAAACAAATGCATCCCCGGGATAACAGGGTGGCTTATTTACAGCTGCATAGAAAGGACTGCTGTGTTTTTGTTTTTGGCTGTGTGTCTAAAATCCACTGGACACATAAAAAGTTCTGACAGTTAACATCCTTCTGTTTTATTCTAAAATCTAAACATGATGAAAACATGGAAAAGATTTTCTGCAAGCCACTTTGGGGTAAAACTCAGGATTGACAAAAATATATAAAATTGTAGTTGATGAAAATGCCTATGAACTCAACAAATGTTATAATATTTAAATAAATCTAAACATTTCTGACATAAAGTCCTATTTTCTTTCAGTAAAACAAGCTTCACAGGTGAGCAAACAAAGGTAAATGTTTATGAAACAAGACTGGAAATTTGTAGTTGTATTAAATATTGTCTTTAACCAGCAAATTCAGATTTCTTTTCACTTTCTTTTATAAAAAATGTCACAAATGATGGAAAATATTTTCAAAAGGTATCTTTTATTTCAGTCATCCCTTCTGTGAGTATTAAGAATTTTTGTTTAACTAGGGGGAATATAATTATAATATTAACTGATTAAAGACACAATTTTGCCAGAAGAACGTCTTAAAATAATGAGAAAAAAAAAAAGTTTTAATGAGAAAAAGCTTGTTATCTTATGTAGTGAAGTTTGCATAAAATTACTACTTCATCATCCTAATATTACGGCTTCATTATGGTTTTATTTGTAAAAGAAATTGAAGCGGTAAAACAAAGATGGCTGCTGTGGGTGTGCTAACATCACTTTGAAAGCAAAGGTAAAAAAAAAATAATAATCCAGATTTTCCAAAAATTAGGTCTTCAAAAAACAAAACTTTTGATAAAACTTGATGAATCACCCAACCAACATAAATCATAAAATATTCATATACTGAACTGACTGCTTCACAATTTTCACAAACAATTTTATATGCAAAATTTCATAATATTCAGATACAGGGTAACAAAATAAAACAATCTTTTGAGATGGGAATCCACGTATTGCTTTAAAAACAGTTTTGCATTACCTTTGCTCTCCCTAATGCAGATAATTGCTGATTAAATAATTGCTGACCCTCTAGGCCGAGGAGGAAAGAATAAACAGGGAAAAACAGCGGGAACAGGAGGAGAGAATATCTAAAGAGTTGGCCCGCATCGCCCACGAGAAGCAAAAAGATGAGAAAATGAGGCAGCAGGTTAGAGCAAACAGGTGCGCTCTCTTTATTACTTCCACACTTGGTCTCATGTGTAACCAGAGTTATTAATTACAGTAACATTTATTTTCCTCCTTTAATGTTTAGCCTGGAGATCAGGGAGCTGGAGTCCAAGCTGCTGGCTGCGTATGTGAGCAAGGAGAGAGGTGCTCAGCTGGCTGAGCGGGAAGCGATGAGGCGTCAGAACGCTGTGGGTGCCGCCTTCGATAGTTCAGTCAGATTTCAGACGTCTTCTGTCTCGTGAACGCTGAGATTCTTTAAATACTCTCAGTTAAAGTTAGGCCTGGACAATACGGCTGAAAAACATATCACAATATAAGAGTTTCATATCAGCCAATATTTATAATTATTGATTAGTTTGCTGCTTTAAATATCTGAAGTACTGTCACAGTTTTTCCTCTGTTTTTTGTTTTTAAGTAGTTATGAGGAATGGTGGCAACAACTTAAACTGCTGCTGCGCAAGTTACTCAGCAAGTTGTTGCTACGAAACCAAACAGTGAGGCCATGAGAGGTTGAGCAGCTAAAGCCTTTCCTCTGCCTAAGTCTCCCAGAATGCTGTGCGGTTCTGGATCGGAGTTCTGTGAAATTATTGAACGTATTTTCTATCACAATATGTACTGTTATTGATTTATTGTCCAGCCCAAGTGAAAATTATTTTATTTTGTCTTTGCACGACATCTCACTGAAGAAAAATCTTCCTTAATCTGTACTGACCAATACCGGAGCTTACTGTTAAGTCATGTGTTTTCTATGATAGCTGGTTCAGGCAGAGTTGGCCGACACAATGAAGAGAGAACGTGAAGAAGCAGCCGCTGAGCTCCTGAAGCAGGAGGAGAAACACCAACAGGAGATGGCTCAGCACAAGAAAGAGCTGGATGCGCAGGTCATGGAGAGGGAGATCAAGAGACAGGAGGCCTACGAGCGGTTCCTCAAGGAGAAGCTCATGGTGGACGAGATCATCAGGAAGATATACGAAGAGGAGCAGAGGTGAGTCTGCAAAATTCACTCTGCACATTTCCATTCTTGTATTTGGGTCTCAACTGCTTCTAAAAACAGCCATTTTTATTTTAGCGATAAGTGAATGTGTCTTAGTGTCTGGAAAATGAGACGTTTCAAAAACCTCCCGATTACTGAGTAACACTGCACCGTTACCTAGCAACCCCAGCAGAGTCCAGCCCTGTTACCTAGCAACCCCAGCAGAACTCCAGAGTGTTTAGTCAGCTGGTTTTACTGCTTTATATAAATGGCTGCTTTTTTTTTCTTAATTACCATTCAGAAAAGATGTTTGTATAATTGGGTATCTGTTTGAAGCCATTTTCTTTGAGTGGGGGCGTGGTCAATTCAGCAGCTGAATTGGATTGTCTGAGAAAAAAATTGTGTAAATAATTTGTAATATTTGATTTTTCTCACAGTTCTGACTTTAATCTCAGAAGATCTTGATTTTTTTTATACTCATAGACCTAACCAGTTCAAGGAACTATAATAGGTCCACTTTAATAAATTAATATTTATCCAAGACCTGGTTAAGTATTCATGTGAAGCATTTTGTTACAGTGTTTCTATGAAATGTTTTTGACTTGAGATGAAATGTTTCCGACAAAGGGAGAGACAGCTAAAGATGGAGAAGGTCCAAGCCACCATGCAGCAAATTGAGGAGTTCAAACGGGAGCAGGCAAGGTGGAAGCTCCTGGAGCAGGAGAAGATCGAGGCGGAAAACAGACGCATCATGGAGTTTTTAAAGCAGCAGCAGGATGCGGAAGAGTCCAGAAAGACTCAAATGAAAGAACGGGAAGAAGCAAAGCAACAGATCCAGAAAATGGTTACAAAAAAGCTTTTCCACCTGTTGATATTAATAATGTCCATTAATTTATGGAAAACGCCTTTACCTGCTGTTCCCGTCTGATCTCCAGCTGTGTGAGAAGATGGAAAAGGACCAGAAGCAGCGTGACGACTTCGAAAGCATCCGTCTGGAGTTATACTTGGAGCAACAAGAGGAGGCAGAGAGAAAGAAAGACATTGTAAGAATCGAGCAGAAAACAAACGCTTCATGATCTCAGCTGTCGTGTTAAATATATTATTAATCCGCTCTGTTAGGAAGAGATGGAAAAGAGGATCAGGCAGAAGCTGATGATGCAGCAGAGCATACAGGAGCACAGGGCCTTGAGAGAGAAGCAGAAGCAGCGTCAGAAAGAGGAGGACCAGGTCTTCAGGGAAGCCATGATGGCCAAGTTCGCAGAGGACGATCGGATCGAGCAGATGAACGCCCGGAAGCGGCGCATGAAGCAGGTGGAGCACAGACACGAGGTGGAGAGGCTGATAGAGGAGAAACGACGACAGCGAGAGGCTGAAGAGGTACGGACCACAACCCGTCAGTTACATCAATAACAAGCCCCTTCCTGCTGGCCTGACTGAAGAACAGTATGTGCTGTGTTATTTTAGAAAGTAGAGACATTTGTAAAACCATTTTCTATCTCACCAGGAACTGGAAGCTAGAGCCAGAGCAGCTGAGCAGCGAGAAGAGGCGGCGATTAAACGGATCATAGAAGAAGAAAGACTGAAGCTCCTGAAGCAGCATGCACTAAAACTCATTGGAAACTTTCCCAAGGTCTGTATGAGAGAATCTGACATTTACAACAACTTATAAGAGACATTATAGAAGCTATAAGAGGAGTAAATTTCCACCCAAATACTGAAATTCTGAGATGAATATCAGAAATGTTCTAGAACAAAAACAAGAAAATTTTGAGCTCCAAAAGTCAAAAAAAAAAAAAAATTGTTTTACATTCCGAGAAATTCTTTGCAGAAATATAAAGACATTTCTGAGCTCCCAAATTTTGGAGTTTCAAGTTACATTTTTTTTGACTTTTTAGACATTTCTGATTGATATCAAAATTTTTGAATTTTTTTTCTTGCACATTTACTTTTTCTCTCTCTTCATTGGCTTTAACACCCCATCATCACAGATGTTATTTAAAGTGTGTGTGTATTAAAACATCAGTAAACTGTGGCTGTGTCTGTTCATAGGACTTTCTCCGTAAAGATGACCTTGAACACTTCGACGAAGACTTCAGGAAGAATTTTGAAACTCGTCAGACTGAAGAGCCCTTGATGACAGACTGAGAAGTTTCTCCTTCGGTTGGCCACCCGGGGGCAGTTTGAGGCTCCTGTGAATGTGTTAGATTGTTTTTTTTTATTTCTCTGCATAAAACACGTTTGTTCAAATTGTTTAGAAGCTTACTTATTAAAATGTGCTTGCAGCATTCTTTAATTTCAGTTTGATTTAGGAACTTACTGAACATTTATAGATCTTTTGTTTTCAAGCGTCATCACATTTTCAAACTACAGATTTTTTTCCACACAGTTGAACTAACGTTAACCTTTACTAGTTGATAACATGGAGTTGTTTCTTCAAACCCTAATTTTGTTTTCAGAAAGTAGATAATCTTTTCATCAGTTTGCATGAAGTTTTGGTTTGTAAAATAATTGTGAATTTTTGTATTTACTGTACTAAGTCAAGTCTTTGATGGCAAGTTTGTACCAGTTTTATCCTCTGCGTTTGGTTTTGCAGCTCGACATGCTTGCAGTGGATTTTATTTGAGGGGAATTGAAGATTTAACTCTAAAACCATTTATCTTATGAATTATTTTTGACTTCACATTTCTGCTCCACTTTGAGTTTATTCACAAAACATTAAAGTTTGTAGTTGTGACATGGAGCATGAATACATTTACAAGGCACTGTGTGTTAGTCAGGTTGGACATTTATCACAGCATTTAGAGAAAGATTGAGAATTTTAATTTATTAATTTCAGTTATTGATAAATAAAAAAACTGGAAATTTCTCAATTTCTCCACTTTTTGTTCCATAAAAATATAAATATCTGTAATTTTAATTATATATTCTATATATTTTTTTAGATCTATACGTGTGATGTAATTTAAATGACTATATAATTTCAAAAATTTAAATAAATACATGTGTGATAATTTAAATGACTGCATATGTTCATTTCAAAAATCTAATTGTAAAAATATGTGCACAAGTATATTGTAGTTTAAATATGACCTAATATATATATCAGTAATTTTGAAAATATTCATTATATATTTTGAATACAGAATTAATTTTGAAAATGTAAGGTAATTAAAAGTAATATATACATGAGTGTGATATCATGTGGGTTATTGTAATTTGAATACGACACTCAAGATGCCAATTTTAAATGAGAATGTTTTTCAAGAACAATATTTTCTGTGCCATGTAGTCAATTACCTAAAAAATAAGTAAAAGTTTTTTTTTAAATCAATATTTGTCACAGTAGTACCTCAAAATATTGATAAAATGTGTGAAGACAAACGTTTCCAATAATTCAAATCAAATATACCAACATACCAGTTTGACTGGAGTCATAAATGTTCTGGTACCCAACTTTTATAAATTGTCATCCGATTTGAACATTTCATCTGTTTGAAGAAAAAACACAAATATGAGACGGACATAGCAGTACAACCGTAAACCCCCACTTCTTTATTGAGTAATGAGCAGAACTTGGTTTCATGAATGTCTAAATTTAACCCCTGAGAGTTTGCTGATTCAGGCCACTTCGCAGGTTTCTTCCACTCAAGATTCAGAAAGGAAGAGAGTTAGAAACAAACACAAACCTGAGGTTTTCACAAGAGTAAATTTGAAGGAAAATGCTAGATTAGGTGCATTTCATCAAGGTTTTTCTTTCTTTTTAAATCAATATATATTTTTTTAGAGGCCGTCTTGAAAGATGTAGTTGGTTGCCATGGCGACAATGGGGGCTCCCGTGGGGACTCCGGGGAAAGGACCACTGGATCCAGCGATGTCGATGTGGGAGTAGGGCAGAGGCGCGTCCGAGTCGACTCCGTGCTGTGGAGACATTCAAACAGAGGTCAGCGGTTCTGATCCAACGAGCGGCAGACGCGCAAGCGCTGGGTTTTTCTGACGACCTTGTCGAGGCCCGAGGTCATGATGAGGAAGGCCGCGGGGGTCTGATGTCCTCGCGGTGTGGCGGAGGACGGGAGGTTGTTGCTCTGCAGGATGTCCTCGTACTCAGACGGGCCCTTGTGGAACTCGTAGTCCTCCCGTCTGATGTTGGAAATCTCAAACACGTCACCGAGCACGTCTCCAGCTGCAGGAGCGACGGTCGAGCTCAGGTTACAAAGAGCTGCAAACGCTCAGCCTCACGCAGAAACTTTCATTTAACGTCTTAATACAGTCCCAACAGCGACACCTTGTGGGCAATTAGATGTATTGCAGTTGAAAAGGACAAATTAAGGATTGTAATCAGCAAAAATTCAGAATTATTTACGAATAAAGATGAACAAATTCACTTTTTTCACTTCCGATACATGAAATCAACACTGAACACATTAACTCAATTTAATCACATTTTCAAATTTACCGATATTTATTGATACTCTCAAACAAAAAGTGGTTAAAATAAAAATATGTCAGATCATAATGTCTGTTTAGTTTTTTTAATTTATCATCAATAATAATTTCCATAGAGATAAATCTTTTTTTAATTTATCGTAATAAGAATTTATAATAATAATAAATAAATGATACAAGCCAAACTTGGTACCTTTAAATCTAAACTTTCTCTGGACTCATTTAGAGATTTATTCATAAATTAACATATTTCCATGTACATGCTTGTTATTATACGTTACTTTATTTTATATTTAGGTCATTTTTAAATAACATCAATCTCATGTACATATTATAATTACTTATAATTCTCTGAAACATACTTTGTATTGCAGTGATGTTGTGGTGATACTTCGGATGGAGTAGTTTGTGGACAAATAAGTAATTTCTCATTGGGGATCAATAAGGAAAATTCTATTCTATAAATGTCCTCTCCTTTCAGTGAGTCACAGTTCATCTCACCTTTCTGCCACTGAGCGGCGTTCCCGTTGCGGTGTGCCGGCCCGTTGTCCATGATGATCTACAATGATAATATTTGTAACGAGGAAAAGCGTGAACGCTTCCAGTTTAGGAGTTTAGGTTTGTATTTTTCAGAGAACTCACAGAATAGTTTGGTCCCATGGCTCTAATGGCGTGACCAGTCAGAGTTGCAATCGTGAAGATATGCGGGGAAACTTCCTGTGCAGCCTGCAGAGACGAACCGTCACATTTAGAGGAGACGGATTAGAGGAAATGACAGATCTGTGAGAGGGTCGATGCAGCGTTTCCAACCTTCTCCTTCATCTCACAGAGCAGGTCCACCATCACCATACGGCCTTCTGCGTCTGTGTTTCCCACCCGGACTCTGCGACCGGCGCGGGACACCACCAGCTCGTCTGCAACGTAGCAGTCTGAGAAAACGCACAGGAAGGTGGCAGGTGAGACCAGGATGTGTTTTATTATTATTACACGTCAGTGGAGGTATGAAGAGGTCAACACTCACCTGAGCCCACACTGTTCCTCACCATGGTCATCGCACCAAACACCTTCAGATGTCTCGGCTTCAGATGGGCTAAAATCTAAACGAGGTTAGATCTACATCAAACAGAATCTGAATGGTGAGGTTTCTCTTTCAGTCCAATTTACTTTTTCTAAGTAATGCCTCAATTATTATTATTATTATTTTTTTTAGAAATGCAAAAAAATTCAAGACAGTCAATTAACAGACTTCATAGTTTGGTGAGAAGCTCTAGTGTCCAGATAAATCACATCCTAACAGATTCTAATGATCTAACATTGGGGTCCTCAGGGCTCTGCTTTGGGCCCACTTCTGTTTTGTAATGATCAAAACAGAAGTTTTTATCTATATGGATGGATGACTGACCATTAGTTGCTTATAGTAAATTGAGGGGAAGACTATATATGATCCTTTTCTTCAAACAACTCATTTTCATCGAAAATGTTTATGTCAACATGCAACATGTTCATTTTAAACTGTAAATGAATGAAATAAACAAATAAATTATAATAAAGAATTAATAATATGTATTCACTCACTTGGACAAACCATTAATAATTATATCTTCAATCAGTTTTAGGCAGATACTGTACAGCTGCTCTGATCCATGAAAAGCAGAGTGTTTGAAACTGTGTGAGTATTTTAGAGCTCGAAAGAAACGGTTTAAAAAAAAAATAAAAACTCACTTGAACTGAAATTAAAGACGGCCCGAATGTCTGATAATGTCTCACAGGGACAAACTGGACACCTAAATATTAGTCTAATCAATAACTCATTTTATTCTACCAATTCTTACAACTCATTTTAACAGCAGCAGAGAACATTCACATTCAAGCATCCTTCTCCTAAACTAATATTTTAATATTTATACATTTATTTGTTGTGTTTTCCATCATGTCTCTCCAGCTCGCTGTTAGGTTAGTTGGTTTCTCTTAATTGCCCTCAGCTGTGATTATCTGACCTGTGGATTAAATTACTTACTTCTGTTCAAGTGAGATGTAGAAAAACTGATTATTTACCTGGAAGAATCCAGCAACAGCAGCAGCTCCACACTTGTCTCTGTGCATCCCGGCCATGAAGCCTCCAGCCTTGATGTCTGCTCCTCCTGTGTCGTAGGTAATGCCCTGCAAAGAGAGAACAAGACGAGGAAATTACAAGTAGTAGTAGTATTTTTATTTATTCTTCCATGACAGATCAGCAAACATTTAAAACTCTCACCTTTCCGACCAACATGAGTGTCTTCTGGATCGGTCCCTCTCCACAGTACTGCAGCTTGATGACTCTCGCCTGATGACGAGGCACATCTGGAGAGGTTTTAGGTTTTTATTAGGACTGATTAGATCTGTAGGAAATCTGTGTTGAGAAGAAAAGTTGCTGTCTTACTGTTAGCGCAGCGGTTCACTGCAGCCAGACACGGATACTCCTTCTCCAGAGCATTCACTTTGCTCAGCACTTCAACCTGGAAACACACAAACCAGGTGAAGATCCAGCCGTTTCTGCGTTTTAAAGCGCGTCGCTGGAGCCACTTATACTTTCATTAGTTTTATTGAAATGTTATGCAACAGACTAATTTAACTGGAAGGTAAATGAGAAATAGTTTTGAAAATGTTTAAAAAGTTTACTGTAAAACCCATGAATAAAACCCAACTGCTATCAGTCATTCTGATAGCAGTTGTCTTTAATGCATCCTGTTTGTTGTAAAGACTTTATTGTAATATTACAGAACAACAAACTAAACATTTTACACAGTTTCAGCTATTTTGCAGAGAAGAACTTAAATCTTTAAATGTATGAAGCTGGTAGAGACCCTGAAAGATTTGCAGCTGTAATTAAATAGAAAAAGTAACTAAGTTACCTTCAGTAATAAAAATGCTGCATACATCAACCATGACCGAAAAGAAATTTGCTGATAACATGACTGTTTTTGTTTTGTTTTGTTTTGCATGTGTGCAGAACTCGCCCTTACCTCCACAGGGCTGTTCTTGAACAGCTCCTGGACATATTCGGCCACGCGAGGAGCCGCCATGCGTTCAGGGTCAGAGCCGCCGATGTCGCGGTAGGCCAGTCTGAGGAGACAAAGCGAAGCAGCTGCTGGGTTTTCAACAACAGAGCCTGATAAAACAGGTGAAACGAAGCGTCTGACCCACCTCCCGCTCTCCAGAGCGTTGGCCAGCTCCACCAGCCGCCGGCCCTCAGCCTCCTGCGCCGCCCACAGACCCAGAACGCACACCTTGTGGACCGACGACTTGATGTTCGCCTCTCGCACTTCAAGGGGCTTTCAAGGTAAGAAAACTTGTTACTAAAAGGCATTTGAAATGATGTCAGAGCTCAAATACTGCATTATAATTTTTAAAGACATGAATCTAAACATAAAACATAATTTG